GACCTCCCCGACCAATCAATCAATCAATCAATCAATATTTCAATCAATCAATCAATCAACCAATCAATCAATCAATCAATCAATCAATCAATCAATCAATCAACCAATCAATCAATCAATCAATCAATCAATATTTATTTTTTATTTTTTATTTTTTATTTCTTTTCCACACACCAAAAACGACCCCCCCGAAAATTATTTTTTTTAACTTTTTTTTTTCAAGAGGGTAGGGTCAGGGTTCCGGAACCCCAATCCGCAACCCCAATCCCCAACCCCCTCTCCCCTCGCCCGCTCTGGGCCGCGGCATTCCGCGGCCGCCGTGGTCATGACCGCGGGCTCGCGGCATTCCGCGGTCGTGCCCGCGGCGACCGTGGCCGCTGGTGTTACATAGCCTTCAAGGAGAAGTGCATTGAGGGATGACAAGTGGGTGAGGGAGTTCTAGGGTGCCAGCTATGACAAAGACTTCATGTTCGAAACCGAAGTGGAAGTCGTCAGGCAAGCGGTTTGTGCGTGCACAAGGGGCGCTGCGAATAAATGAACTGTGAATGCAAACTGCTCCCCAAACCCGCAGCGGGGAGGGGGTTCGCAAGGCTGATGTCGTCATCGATGTCGACATTGGTCAAGCACCGAGGGACGTCCAAGTGAAGGCAGCTCCGCATACACCGCGCGCTGGGCGAGGACACGTGTGACTACGCCGCCAGCCACACCATGTGCCTAAACAGTTTCGTAGGTGGAAGGGGCCGTGAAGGCGGCGGTGCAAGGAAGCGGCTAGGGTGCACAGCGACAACAAGAGGTGGACGTGCAGGGCGGTGCCTTGGCGGGATCACCTAGACCGACGACGGTTGCAACAGTTGCTGAGAGTCGTGCAGCGAGCCTTTGGTGAACAGCCAACGGTGGGGAAATGCACCAGATGGGATCGAAGCTGCGACGAAGCTGTGGTTGAACGACATGAGGTTCTGAAACGAGACGGAGGACAATGGACTCTTCAAGCTCATCCAGGAAGTGCGACTTTATGTATTGGCCATCACCACGGGAGTTTCCACTCCCGAGATCCGTCGGAGTATAGACCTCTCTCACTCAAGCATCCCGCAGCACAAAATCGACGACGAATCACAGTTGAAGGCGGCGAAAGACAGGGCCATGAAAGTGCAGAGCATCGCCTTGCGCGTCATCCACGGATAGATCTTCAAGTCTGCGAGTCACTCACGGGGCTACCACTTTGCATATTGGTACGTGCGGAACCACACGGCGAAACATTGCCCATGTCATGTGGCTTGGAGAGGACTGGCGAACATGTGTCAGCCCCGCTGTCTGCCACATCACACTGGAGATGGACATGAAGCTCCCCCTTTGGTTTGTCGGCTCACACATCGAAGACAGACACGAGGACGATGAGTTGGCATGCTACCAAGAGGCGATCATGCAGCACCTGGTGAGCATCGTCACAAGCATCGTCATTCTGGTGGAGGGGATCAACGGTGCGCGAATCTCCTACTAAGGTAAAGGAACATCATAAAGGCTACGGGGCTTCTACTCACTGCGTCAATGTGGCTGATGAGGATGAGCGGGAATGATCTACGTTCGCATTTTGATGCGTCCTTATTCGTGCAGCCCAACGCGAAGCCGACATTAGTGGTGTCCATGCATCGATCGTTCGATGCTCGTCGCCATATCCTTCAGGCAGTTACCGTCATGACGAAAGGATGGGGAAACCCGCCATGATGTTGGCTGACCCGCCTTTGTACATCCTGGACCGGGGTAACTGCGGGATCACTTTCGGCCATGACGCCACTCTTTCGTCACCGATGGCCCTGAAAAGGTTGGAATGGTTGAGCACTGGCCCCCCAGAGGACGATGACGACAAAACAACCGGAGGGGACAAAGATGGGGCGGGGCTAGAGAAGCACAGTTGGCGCCGCGGAGAGGATGGGTAACATTGTGGAGACGATGGGTAACGTTGCGTCGTCAAGTACGTCGGGGGCAGCCGCTCAATGTCGAAGAACGCAGTCGGCGGTTGATGGGCGTCGGTCGGTTGCTGGCTCAGTGCTTGTGCGGCTCGTGGCACACAACGAGGGTGTCAACGTCCCATGTGGAGGTAGGGGGATGTGCTAGCGTGCTGTGTAACACTCTGTACGACGTACGGGGGGGTTATCGTACGATCATACATACGGCCGTATGAATGGCCGTACGGCCGTACGTACAGCCCCGTACCAAAAAAAAAAAAAAGAATCGTTTTGTTTTTTATCTCAAATTTGGTAACGAATTTCAATATGACCCTGAGGCAGAAGTGTTTCAGATTATTTTTCTGCATAACATATTTGTTTTTAAGATTTTTTAGTTTTTTTTTTTTTTGCTTTTTGTCTGTACGTACGGCCCGTACTACCACATGAGCACGTACGTACGGTCATACGTACGTACGCACGGCCCGAATTCGTACGGGGGTCTACATACCTAGCGTGCACTCGCAAGGGCGCAGTTGCAAGTTTTCTGACGACATCCTGGATTGTGATGTCCTCGCGTTGTCTGACGGATGGAGAGAGAGAGAGAGAGAGAGAGAGAGAGAGAGAGATGTGTTGATTGGTAAATCGACGACACACTTTTCTAGATTTTCACGGCAGGAATATGGTGTGTTCGCAGTTCCATGCGTGGTCCGCGGTCGTCATGCATGTAATACCACCTCTTTAATGTGTGTTTTACGTTGGTGTTTGTTGTGCATGCGATTGTGTGAGTAACTAGTGTTGTTTCTGTGCCATTTTCGTCAGATTCGGGGTTTCATGTGTCGTCATGGATGAGCCCTGTTGGTATTGTGCCCGAAAAAAAGGACGCCAGTCTTCTATTGTCAACAACACAGACGTCACATGCATTGGCCATTGAATGACTCATTATGACTGTTGTACGGTACACGACCATCACACCATTCACATGCACGCCACAACTGACGTAAAGTCACAGGCGGTCGCAAAGCTAAATCGCACGGAAACTTTTCGAAAAACACATACACAAACGCAAAGCTATGTTGCACGCCCGACCGCGGCCGGGGGGTCCAAGTCGGCCGCGGCCTAGGCCGATGGCCGAATCGGCCGGGCTCGGCCTGGGCCGACCAGTCTACTTCGGTGCAAGATTTTTATTTTTTTTTCTAATGCATGAAAAAATATATATATATATATATGGGCGTGTAGGGCTAAAAAAACCCTACACTCCTATACTTTTTTTTTTTTGAATCCGACTCTGTTTAAGATTTTAAAAAAATCAAAAACTAAAATCGATTTAAATAAAATTAAAAAAAATATATAAAGAAAAGCAGGATTTTTTTTTAATCATTTTTTATCATGAGATATATGGTCTGTGAGTTTACCTGTATTTTTTTAGAAATGAATTTACGTTTTTTTGCAGAAGTATGAGGTGTTCTGAAAAAATGCAGATGCAAAAAAAAAAAAAAAAAAAAAAGGGGATTGATTGATTGATTGATTGATTGGTGGTGGGGGAGGAGTCGCCCCACCCCCCCGCCACCCACCACGTGCACACACACACTCTCTCTCTCTCTCTCTCTCTCTCTCTCTCTCTCTCTCTCTCTCTCTCCCACACAATACTCTCTCTCTCTCTCTCCCCACCCCCCCCCACACAATACTCTCTCTCTCTCTCTACTCTCTACTCCTGTCTCTTATACACATCTAGATGTGTATAAGAGACAGCCTTTTATCTTCGCGGTCAGTGTTGTCCATTGGTG